CCCACAGAAAGCCCTGCAACAGGAATTGCACCACTTCCTTAATCCTGACTTGAAGCAAGGGGCCAGGCTTTTAACCCTCTTCAGTCACTGTCCCCAGGGCAGAGGGAGCACAACCTCCCAGACATCCCCTGGGGAGGCATGAAGAAAGCTGTAAAGGGGCAGCTTTGAGAAACAGCTGTGGGGTGGGTGCCTCAGCAGATGCTAACAGCATCTGCTACAACACCCAGTGCGCCACTCAGGAGCCACATCCCACTGGTGCTTCAGAGATAATGTGTTCAAAGCTGATCTTGTCACCTTCCCCCCACACTCATCTCACCCACACACCCCAGAAATCTGCCACCCACAACAAGGCTCTCAGGAAGCGCCACCATCTCCCTCCCACCAGGGAATCAATCTGCCTCTCTCTTCGGTGGGACAGTTCACTCCAGTCAGCTCCACAGGGTTAGCTCTGGGCCAAGTCTACCTCTCTCCCCTTTCCTCCTCTTTTTTGGCTACTTCCCTGAGAAGACACATCCTGGCTTCTCTTCCTTCCCAGTCTCCCTTATCACATGCACTGAGCAGGCTAAGAGGGACACAGAATCTCACCCTGCTGAAGCTATCATCACTTGCTTCCTGCTGCTCTTCAGGACCAGGGCCTGGGGTCTCACTCCAGTCCCACCCTGCCCTGCCATCTTGCATGCCCGCCTTGAGCACTAAGCACCCCAACCGTGCCTCGCTGTGTCTCTGCTCAGGTTGCCTTCTCTCTCTGGAATATCTCCCTTCCCCCTTGCCAGGTTGAGAATCCCTCCATTACATTCCCAGAAAACTGCATGCCCATGAAACCCACCATCCAGATCTTCCCTGTCAAGATGAATGGACAAGCTATGCCTGATTGTCCAGTGCCATGGTGAAAGGGACTAATATGTGTCCTCTCACCAGTCCAAGAATCAGGTGGCAGATTTTAGAGGGCACTGACAAGGCCTGTGGACCTCCCTGCAGGGGACCAGTTACAGCTTCCTGATCAAAGGTGAGCCGGCAAAGATGTAAGCATCCATTCCTTTCTGGAATCAGGAGTCAATTGTACATGTTGCTGGTATGTGGCCAAGGCCCATGCAGAATACCAAAGTTCAAGACAGGAATGGGAACCTAGGTTGCCATGGTAACAAGAGGGACCGTCTCTGGGAAGAAATTAGAAATGGATGCCATTTGCTCAGGCCCATATTATCATTGTAAGTGATCCCACTCCCAGTCAGGGAAAGGGTGTGTCAGCATTTACAGACTCCCCTAAGGTATCTGATATAAAGACTCTCTCCCATCATAGCCCAATTCAAGTCACCAAAAGTCTTTTGGGGGTTTGTTTTGTTTTGTTTTGGCACTGAGGATTGAACCTAGAGTCGCTTTACCACTGAGCCACATCCTCAGGACTTTTATTTTTTATTTTGAGACAGGATCTCACTAAGTTGCTGAAGCTGGCTTTGAACTTGACATCCTCTTGTCTCAGCCTCCCGTGTAGCTGGGATTACAGGTGTGCACCACTGCACCTGTAGAGCTTAACACTAAGCTCAAAAAAAAAAAAAATCCAGGAAATTTAATAATTGACTCTGACACAACACAACTTCCTGGGTTCTGCCTGAAATCCACCACACCAGCTCACTAAGAGAGGTGAGCATGACAGGTAACAAAGTAAAAGCCCTGTGAGACTCTGCCACCTGCTCCTCTCAGGCAGGGGTATCTGCGTTTTACTGGGTTTGGGCTTGAAGCAGGCCTAAGGCAAGATGCAGGCAGAAGTCATTCATTTGGGAGGCTACTGCAAAAAGCCCCAGCATTGGGTTGGGGTGGTGGCTCAGCAGTAGAGCACTTGTCTAGCACGTCTGAGGCCCTGGGTTCAATCCTCAGCACCAAATAAAAATAAATAAAATAAAGACATTGTATCCAACTACAACTAAAAAATAAATGTTAAAAAAAAAAAAAAAAGCCCCAGCATTTCAGAGAAATGAAATAGGACAAGGAATCAGAAGAGGATGTGTCCCCTGTTGGTGGTCAGGGCACAACCTAGCTGAGGGCTCCAGGAAATGAGCTGCTCCCTGGATCAGGACCTCTCTAGTACTTTCCGTTGACAAAGAGCCATAGATGCTTCCAGTCAGCCCCAGAATGGCCAGTGAGTAGGACATGGGCAGTTTGAAATGCCTGTGCAACAGAGCTGGGACCTGGCCATCCCTTAGCACGTGTCTTCTAGCCCGAGCTCCTCATTCCACTGAGCGGGATTCACATTTGTTTTTTGTTTGTTTGTTTTTTTGTTTGGGTACCAGGAATTGAACTCAGGGGCACTCAACCGCTGAGCCATATCCCCAGCCCTATTTTTTTAATATATACATATATTTATTTTTTAGAAGTAGTTGGACACAATACCCTTATTTTGTTTATTTATTTTTATGTGGTGCTGAGGATTAACCCAGGGCCTTGCACGTGCCAGACAAATGGTCTACCGCTGAGCCACAATCCCAGCCCTCCCCAGCCCTATTTTGTACTCACTGAGTACTTAGTGCCTTGCCATTGCTGAAGCTGGCTTTGAACTCCTGATCCTCCCTGTCTCAGCCCTGGGATTACAGATGTGCGCAACCTTAACCAGCAGGATTCACGACTTTTTTTTTTTTTTTTGGTACTGGAGATTGAACTCGGGGACACTGGACTACTGACCACATCCCAGCCCTATTTTGTATTTTAATATTTAGAGACAGAGTCTCATTGAGTTGCTTAGTGCTACGCTTTTACTGAGACTGGCTTTGAATGCCTGATTCTCCTATCTCAGTCTTTGAAGCAGCTAGGATTACAGGTATGTGCTACTGCTCCTGGCCAGGATTCACATTTTACTTATTTATTTTAAAGAGAAATGTTAGGTTTTATTTTTTTATTTTTTATTTTTTTTAGAGAGAGAGAGAGAATTTTAATGTTTATTTTTTAGTTTTCGGTGGACACAGCATCTTTGTTTGTATGTGGTGCTGAGGATCGAACCCGGGCCGCACGCATGCCAGGCTAGCACGCTACTGCTTGAGCCACATCCCCAGCCTTCACATTTTATTTTATTTTTTAATATTTATTTATTTAGTTGTAGTTGGACACAATGCCTTTATTTTATTTATTTATTTTTATGTGGTGCCTAGGATCAAACTCAGGGCCTCACACGTGGTAGATGAGAATTCTATCACTGAGCCACAACCCCAGGATTCACATTTTAAATGATATAAATTTTTAGTACCATTTGGTCCCTAATCAACAGCCCATATCTCAAATCTGCTTCCCAGCTGAAGAAACTGTGAGGCTTCCCCAAGCCAGAGGAAAAGCCAGGAAAGGTGGACTTTACAGAGATAAGATTTTCAAGAGGAACTAGAACTTTATGGGAATTGTACCAGCAGGACAATAGAACCTGATCATCCGGCCACCCAGGAGACCAGACTGTGTTGATGTGTTAACAAAGGGCCTGGGTGGGCTGGGGAGATAACTCAGTTGGTAGAGTGCTTGCCTTGCATGTCCATGCCAAGGCCATGGGTTCAATTCCCAGCACCACATATTAAAAAACAAAACAAAACAAACAACAACAACAACAACAACAAAAAGGGCCTGGCCCCACCCTTAAGTATCACCTCTGTGAGCAGAAGCAGGTCCACAGCATTTCCACCACGACTAGACTTAGGAGACCTCCCCAGGTGCCTTCTGGGTTTCAACAGAAGAGGGCGGCAGCTGTGCAAAGGGCCTGGAGAGGGCCCTGAGGTTGAAGATGCTGTCCTGGACCTCTTGACCCTGCCATCACAACCCATGCCTCTTGCATGAAACAGCCACCCACTCACCTCTGCATCTCATTCACACACACACATGCCCACACACATGTGCATGCGCACACAGGCCTCCAGAGTTGAGGACTCCCTTGTAGTGAAGGAGAGGAAGCAAGACAAGTGAGACAGAAGTTGCTTTCACACAGTTTATTTTTCAGAGTCCAGAGGCAGGCAAGGCGGGACAAACTCTAGGACCGTAACCTGGGCACAAGACCTTGAAAGAAATCCTTGATTTTCCTGCCAATGTTCTCGAGTTTTTCACCAATCTTCTCTCCACCTTTTTGCAGGAGCCCACCTAGCCGGGCAATTTTCTTGAAATGCTGGGGCTGTACAACAGGAAGAAACAAGTTCCTTAAAGGGCTGCGCTCAAGGGTGCAAGACCCCTGTCCACTTAGACCTCCCTCAGGGGATTTGGAGCACCAGTTCACCCTCTTCTGACTGTGACCTTTGGAGCACATAGCTGAATCCCTACTCTTAATAAAAAGATGGAAAAACAAATTGAGGCTCAGAAATGGCAAGGGGCTCCCCCAGGGTCCTCAGAGCCCACTACCCTAAGTCGGTGTTCTCAGTCTTCAGCAGGAGTCAGAATCTCCAGAAGAGCTTATTGAAATACACGTTGCTGGACCTCACCCCAGAGCCTCATTCAGTAGTTCTGTGTGGAGCCCAAGAATGTGCATCTCTAACAAAGTTCCCAGGTAAGGACCAATCTTTAAGAACCACTGCTCTCAGGAATTGCAGGGTTGGCCCTGGATATGGGATCAGGCTAAGGGAGGAACCCTGGGTAGAAGGAGGTTTTCCTGCTCTGGGTAAGGCAGTGGCTGACTGGTGGACAGATTATCCATGTGCCATTCTCATCAGCCGCTGCATCCCAGAATAGCCCACTCACCCCGTCACAGTTGATGTCAAAAGAGTCCCTGGCCGGGTCCAGGGTGACTGTTCCCACACATCGCTTCACCAGCTAGAAAAGGAATGCTCAAAGTCAAACTGGAAACCCTTTACTATAACTCCCAGCCCTGCCTTGGTGGCTGGAAATGTTCTCCAAGGACCCTTTATCCAGCTCCTCAGGAGGTACCTACCCACCAGCACCCCCAGCCCCAACCTCACCCCATCCTCTTTGAAGTCACACTGCTCCAAGGTCTGCTGAGTCGTCTTGGGACATACTGTCTCCTTCACTGTGAAGCTCACAGGCTTTGGGGTATCTGGGTCCTCATCCTGGTCAAGGAAAGAAGTGGGGAGTTCAGGCTCGAGCCCAGTTTTTCTTTCTCTGATCAGTCTTCCTGATCCCCATCAAGGGAACAGCCTTTCATCAACATCTATTATGTGCCAGGCACTGAGAACAGAGAGGAAGAAAATAAGCCCCTTTCTGACCTCCTTAAGCAGCCCTAATGAGGGGTATCTCCCCTCTGGGGGAGAGGGAAACCAAGGGCTTCCTGGAGGATGAGACCTTCAGGACCCTCAAGCCTGGCCAGAGCCCTTCTCTATACAGAGAGACAGAAGAATCAATAACCTCACCCTTGTCCCTGGAGGTCCCAGAAGTGCCTGCAGCCTGTGTGGAGTAGGGATAGAGTACATCTGCCACAGCAGAATGCTAAGGTTGAAAAACATCACGCTACGAGAGAGGACATAGCCCCAGGAAGTTTCCCTGGAAAAGGGAGGATCACACCAACAGGAGGCAGTGCTTTCCTGGCAGAAGACAGAGCAGAAGCCCAGAGTGGCCTATCCTAGCCAGAGCAGAGTCAGCCCTCCCTGCCAGCTCACCCCCCGGGACTGGGAATCCAGGCTCAGGAGGCGGTAGAGGTTGGCATCTGAGGACTGCTGGTTGAAGCCATCCACAGCACGGAGCACAGCCTCCTGGTAGCTGAGGGTCTGGGCTATGGCTAAAGGCATCATCAGGCCCAGCAGCAGCAGCAACAGTGACCGCCACTCCAGAAAAGGGCCTTCTCTCTGGGTCCGCATGGTTTCCAAGACTGCTTCCTCCAACCCACAGGAGCCTCCTTTATGCTCAGCCTGAGCCTGATGCAAAGACCCAACCACAAGCCCTCCTGACCCAGCCCCATCTTGGGCTGGCCGCCAGGGCCTGGGCTGCAGCTCAGCCCCACTGCCTGCTGTCGTCTCATGGGGGCTGGGCAGCGCGCCAGATCGGCCTGATGTGCAAGACAAAGAAAGAATTTCCCCATCTCCCTGAAATGGCCTCAGGAGATTTCATGGCCTGGGTTGCTCAAGAGGGTTGAGTCCCGGAAAAGAGGAAGAAAGCCAGTTCCTGCCCTGAACACTGAGTGGACACTCAATTAACATTTTTTTTTTTTTTGTACCAGGGATTGAACCCAGGGGGACTTGACCACTGAGCCACATCCCCAGCCCTTTTTTATATTTTATTTAAAGTTAGGATCTCTCTGAGTTGCTTAGGGCCTCACTAAATTACTGAGGCTGGCTTTGAACTCATGATCCTCCTGCCTCAGCCTCCTGAGCCTCTGGGATTATAGGGGTGTGCCACTGCACCTGGCTTCAATTAACTTTTGATGAATAACAGTATCTGTGCCCCTACCCTAGATACTTTCCCACCCAAGGGAGAAGTTTTCCCCACACTCAGTTCAAGGCTGGACCACCCTGTTCCCTGTACCTGGCCTTCAGTCAACTCAGGGACTTGGCTCCATGTCTCCCTCTCCTGGATCCTTCTCTGTTGCCTCTTTTCAGTCTAAAAATGTCCTGGGACCCCTCGCACTCAGCAGATGTGGACTTTGGCCCTAGGTCCTCCTCACCTGAGCCTGAGGCAAAGCCGTCTATACTGGATGGACCAGCTTTTTCACTCACACTCAAGCCCCAACAGGCTGGCCAGCCCTCCCTGGGTCCAGTGACCACTCTCAAGTCTTGTCTTACTGTATATAGGTGCAGGTGACAGCTTCTCCGCCTGAAACTGCCCTGGCCCATCTCCCCGGCTGCCATTCTCCTGCTTTCCCTACTGTCTTTGCCTCTTCCAAGGGCTGTCCTCTTAATATCAGGGGCTTGGGCTGCTTCTCTTCCAAGTTCTCAAGTCTTCCTGGATACATCCCCTCCCAGGACACCAGTTACAGTGAACCAGACTCCACCTGGTCTGTATCTCTGAGTTCAAAATTCCCATGAATCCCCTGGTTGTCCCCACTGGGCTCCCTCACCTGATCTGTTGAATACTCACTAAATAAGCCCTGAGCTGAAAATCTGAGGAACAGCCCACCTGCTCCTTCCTCTCCTGGGGGCACACCCTTCAGACCTGCCCTACCACCCACCTTCTCTTCCATGAATTGCCACCCAAACCTCCAGACTCCGCCTTCCCTGAGTTCCAGGGACTCCCCGGACCGCAGCCTACCCTCTACACCATTGTCCAGGGTCTCTTCCTAACCACTGCTTTGGCCATTTCAAGCCACTGCCTTTAGAAGCCTACACACGCTGGGCCTAGCATCAAGGCCTGCAGCCCTGTTTCTCCCCATGGCCCTCCCCACAGCCCTGCACACCCCAAGTGCCAGGCTGCCACACACATCCCAACCACTTTGGCTCCTAAGCCTCCTGCCCTTTCTCCCAACTCTGCACCGCGTCCTTCCGTTTGGTATATCCTTCCACCAGCAAAGCTTTCCCTGGCCTCCAACCAGACTCATCAACCTCCTTCTCTTTGCTCCTGCAGCCTCCAAAAAGTCTCCCCTGACTTAACCTCAAATGATTCCTTGTCCAGTACCTGAGATCGTAAGCTGAGGTGGCTGGGTTGGGCCGGGGAGGAGAACACAGCTGTGAGAGGGAATGAACCAAATTAGGGTTCCAGTTCCTCTGTGGACTGGCCATGTGGCCATGAGGCCTGGGGTAACTTTTGACCTTTGATGATATGGGTTCCTCAGGGGCTTGGACAGGACACATTGAAAGGACACACTGATGACACACTGGCCTGGGGGGAGGAAGGAGAAGTGGGCTGCTGTGCAACCTGGTTTCACAGTCCAGTGTTATCCCGGTGGCCTATTGGTCAAGCACAACTTGCACTTCAAGCCCTTTAAAACAGCTGGGGAAAGGATCGTCCAGAAAAGGGACATCGGGCCCCTTCAGGCTCTACTGGTTCCTTTACTTCATCACCAGCTTAGGAGTCCCCAAGAAGCCAAACTGGGACAGAAGTGGGTGTGCATGTTAGTTCTTAGACTAACATGAGACCTACCTCTTCCTGCATTCCTCTAGATGGGATCCAGCACTGTCAGAGTCCCTCCTAGCCAGCCATAGGGGACATTCTACCTCAGCCATTTTTAGGCTGTCCTTTCTCCTAGAATCTTTCAGAGCCCAAATGACTGACACCAGTCCCATGATACAAGTTAGAAGTCTGGGGATGGAAATGGTGTTCAATGGTAGAGCACTTGTCTAGTATGTAGGAGGCTCTGAATTCAAATTCCAGCACTACAAAAAAAAAAAAAAAAACAGAAGTTTGGCCTTGAGGGCACACATCTCCCCTGTGGGCCACAATATGGGGCCCAGGCTTACCAGATTCATGAGAGTCTCCTCTAGGGCTGGGTATATTTGGTTGGAGTCCATCATGCCATCATGTAAGATAGGGAGGGTGACCAGAGCCTTAGAACCCATAGAAAGGAGAGGGGTTCACACCAGCTTCCTTTTCATATGTCTCACCCTGTAACAAGGTAATCAGAAGGTTCTAAGAAAAATCAGAATCAAGGGAGAAAAGTGAAACTTCTCACATCAAGTCTTGAGAGCTGGACAAATATCCCTATGTCCCAATATCAACCCTTCCCACAGGCTCATCCCATCCTGCAGACCAAAGAGGCACCATCTCCTATACATTACAATCAGAGAAACAAGCCTCTAAGGCCACTGAAGGCTCTGGAAGAGCTTCCATGAATTAGCAGATGCTGGAGCCCCTTCCCATTCCAGAATCCCTCTCTCAGTGGGTGACAAGAAAAAGAAAAGAGGGCTGAGGTTGTGACTCAGTGGCAGAGTGCTTTCCTAGCACATGTAAGGCACTGGGTTTGATTCTCAGCACCACATAAAAACAGGTAAACAAAATAAAGGAATTGTGTCCATTTACAACTAAAAAAGAAAAAAAAAAGGAGCTGGATTGGAGACATAACTCAGTGGTAGAGTACTTGCCTCGCATGCAATTCCTGGTATCAAAAAAATATATAAATCTGCCCCTTGCACCAGGCTGTCTTTGTTCAGGCCTCAACCCTGCTGTGACTAGCTGTATGGTTTGTCCTGAACACAGGCATAACTGCTCTGCACCTTAGTCTCTTTCCTTGTAAAAATGGGGATAGTATTTACAGAGAGGACCTGTTTATAGAATTATTTTCTGGGCCAAATGCAGCATTGTGTGTGGTCGGTATATATGAGTTGCTGCTTTAGTTATTGTTATTGTGAACCCTTAGGTTAATACTTCAGAAGTAAATATGAACCCCAGGAGGGAGTGAAATTGGTGACTTACGCCATGAGCTGATGTCTCTCAGGGAAGTTGCGATCCTCCAAATGAAGGTTTTACACAAGGTGAGCTCCAAAAGGCTTTTGCATTTTTATAGGATCAAACAAGAAAAAAAGAAAAGAGACTTTGATGATGGAATTTTAAAGGCCAGCATAAATAAAATATTTTATTACAGAATCTCAAGTGTTATTGCTAGTTGGAGCCAAGAGATAGTAATGGCTCACAAGTCCAACCATCACAGGAATCTCCCTATGCCACACTGCAGAAGCAAACATGTAGGTCACATGCCTGTGTGACCCCTCCAGCCAAAGGAGGGAAGCAGTTAGATGTAAGACATCCCAACTTGCTCAGTTGCTCACAGATACAATTTAACCTCCCTCACTCTGCCATAGAATGAGGCCATAGAATGAAGTTCCCCTGAGGATCTGTGTGGACTGCAGTGACAAAGAGTGAGCACGCAATACCTGACACATAGCATGTGTGCTTAAAGTGCCTGAGCAGTCAGCCCTCCCTCGCCCACAGACCCCAATGGACTTCCAACTCTGCAAAGCAGCTAAGCGAGGATGACACAGGGGACGGCCATGCACAGGTAGCTCAACCTTTACTTCTAGCAAGTTACCTCCCCTCCCCAAGTCCGTTTTCTTGAGCAAAATTGGAAACAGTAACCCCAACCCTGCTGGACAGCAATGCACTGGGGTCAGATGTATGTTCAGAGACAGAAGTTCCCTTCCTGTTCCTGGGCCACAGGCAGAGTGCACTTGTACTCTGTGGCCAGCAGAGGGTGCCAGCCACAGGCTCTACCCAGTCTCTGCCCAACACCCCCTTTCAGGCTTTATTTCTTCTCACTGGCAGGATGGCTTTGCCAGAAGACCTGAGGTAGGTGGGGTCCCGAGCACCATCAGTTCACCAGCTGCTTGACTTGGAGCAAGTTGCTATGTTTTCCTGTGAATGTCCTTGTCTGTAGGATGGGAATGACGTGACCTGCAATGCCTGTGTGGGGACAAATGTGACCGTGGGTGAGAAATTCCATGTTCACTGTAAAGTCCTAGACCCCTGGGCATTTTTGTGAGTGAGGTCAGGGTCAGGTCTGTTTGTTCTGCACTGCCTTATCCCAACTGACCCCAACAGACACATCCATTTGCAGAAAAACTTGAAAACTATGCCCCAGTGTTGCCAACAACTCCCCCCCACTGACCCAAGCCCTGGACACATTTTCAGAGCCAACTTCTCTAGGAAGTTTGCCCAACATCACCTCCAGATAGCATCCCAACATCACCTCCAGATAGCATCCCAACATCACCTCCAGATAGCATCCCAACATCACCTCCAGATAGCATCCTCAGCAATGCATCCCGACCCCACCCCAGCATCAGACGGGAGACAGCTCACCAACCCCACTTTCAGTCTGTTTATCTGTCAGACAAGTCCCCAGGGTGGGGCCAGCTGTCTCCTCAGGCAAGAGTCACAGAGGCCTGTGCTGTCCCTCAGACAGGCACTCTCCAAGTTATCCCTTCTGTTCAGGCTTTCAGTGAGGGGCTACTCCTCCTCCCCAGGCCAAAAGTTTCCCTAATGTGACAAACGTGTCTGTCCCTCAGACAGGAGCTACCAAGGACAAGAGGACAAGACTGTGTACTCCCTTCAGGCCACAGACTTCCTAGGTGTCCAGGGACCCTTTCCTCTTTGGCACCCTCTCAGGACCTGGCACTGGGCTCTGCCCTCAGGAAGATTCAGATAGACGAGGGCAGCTGCTGGCAGATCCAGAGCCAGGTTCAGGAAGGATTTGTCAAAGGAAAAGCTAAAGAGTATAAGTAGCATTGGGTGATTTCTGGGGGAAAAAAAAAAATGCCTTTGTTTCTTGGAGTGATTCACAAGAGGTTCTTGGGACACAGTGTCCAGGGAGGTGGGAGCTCTGTCCAACCATGAGCGGGAACCTGGGTATTTCCTAAGTTCTCTCTCTCTGGCTCACAGGACCCCTCTGTCTTCCACGAGTGGGGACTGGGGGAGCTATCAAACCACAGCTTGTTTTCTCCTAGGAAATACTAAGTCAGTCATTCCCTGTCCTATCCAGGAATATCCACCAGGGCCAGGGCACTTCACATAGTCTAAGTTCCCAACCCCAAATTTGTCACCAGTGAGGAAGACAAGACACCAAACTTCTTGACAGTGACCTTTCCCTAAGTCTGTTCCCATTCCCAACCCTGAGCAGCTCCAACTTCTGTGCCTCTAGGTGGCCAGGGACTGTGCCAGGCTGCCTGCTGCTCACCTTCTGCTAGTGACCTCTAGACCCACGCCACTGGGCTCCCCACCCCCTCCCAACCCCAGCCCTAACAAACTCTTCTCACCATTCCCAGCTCATCAGACCTTGCTCATTTCTGCTTTAATGCAGTCAATTGCCTGCAATGGCCAATACTATAGCCAGTAGCACATGT